CTTTCTCCCTTTCTTCCTTCCTTTCTTCCTTCCTTCCCTCTTTCTCTCTCTCTCCTTCTCCTCCCTTTCCTTTTCCCTTTCTCTTCTTCTTTCCCTTTCTCTGCCCAAACTCCTCAGGATGCTGCAGCAGCCTCAGGGATGATCTCACCTGTGGTTCCTCTCGTTTCAGTGTGCCTGGAGCACACCTTTGGCCCCGACTGCAGCCTGACCTGTGACGACTGCGAGAACGGAGCCACCTGCACGGCCGAGGGCAGCGGCTGCCACTGCCCGCCCGGCTGGACCGGCGTGCTCTGCAACCAGAGTGAGTGGCAGCTCTGTCCCCTGCTCTGGGGGGTGCAATGGATGCAGCCCCGCAAGGCTGAGCCTCCTCTTCCTTCTCCCTCCCCAGCTTGCCCGGCTGGAACCTTCGGCAGCAACTGCAGCCAGAGCTGCCGGTGCCAGAACGGTGGCACCTGTGACCCGGCCAGTGGCTCCTGCCGCTGCCCGCCCGGCGTGGCCGGAGAGCTCTGCCAGGACGGTGAGTCCAGCGTCCCCTCACCCTCTCTGTGGTCTGGGGGCCATCCTCATCCTCCTCCTTCCACTGAGATCTGCCATCACTGGGTACATGGCTGTTCTGGCCGTGGCTGGTGCCGCTCTTGGATGTTCCAGATGTTCTTCTCTGAAGCGTGGAAGTGTTTCCTGTGGGGTTCCCTACACTGGTCCTTTTGTAGCTGCTCACCAACAGCATCTTATAGCTCTCTTGTTGAATCATCCCAGTGAGAGCAGCTCGAACACATTCCTGCTCCATCTGAGTCCGTCAGCCACCGAGTCTTGTGTGGAAAAATGTCATTTTAAAAAGCAAAAGGAGTGTTAAATGGCACTCTTCCCCCACAAAGCAGTGCTCCAGGTGTTCTGTCTTGTCTTTGCACTCAAAGACCTTTGCAGTCCCTGTTCACTGCTCATCCACGACTCAGGGCAAAGATCTCTATTTCATGGGGCATTCAGTGCCAGACATAGGAAAGAATGTCAAACCCACAATTTCCATGGCTAATTTCCATGGAAACTGTGGAGGTATTTTCCACCCGAAGCATTGGAGAGCTGTGACAGCAGTAGTTACCCAAAGTACCCAGAGGAGGTGTCACTGCTGATGATGCTCATTTCTTGTTCCCAAGGGGTTAAAATTTGGGGGACATAATTTGAAAACCAGAAAGAGGGAGACAATCAGAGATTCAGACAAAAGGACTTCAGTCACATGTTGGGAGCATATGGGAACTATTAGTGAAGGAGGAGAGTGAAGCAGAATACAAATGAACACAAGAGATACCTCAACCTCTTCTTTCTGTAAGAAGGAGACGATTGAGGGGGACAGAGAGAAAACAGGAAGGTGAAATTAAAATAAACAATGCAGAATTGCTCTGTTGTCCCAAGGTGGCATTTCCTCTGCTCCTCTCTTCGTAGGGACAAGGCACGTGCTGCTGGGCAGCTGCTGGCCAGAGCACTCTGCTGACACAGCCTGTCAGCCATGTGCTTCCAATATTGAGATCTTTAGCATAACAGAGAAAAAACAATAATTGTATTCACTTAATAGTGCAAATATCCCTGTGGCTTTTCAACAGGAGCAGCCTCATGGGTTGCTTTCTCACGGAGAACAGCCTTGACCTCTCGGAGCCCTGTGGGTGGGTTATTTCTGTCCCAACCAGCAGAGTTGCTGGTCACAGGGAGTGCAGAGCTAATGGGTGCCCTGGAGCAGCGCAAGGAGTGGCAGCAAGTGACATCCCCTGTGACACTGCACAGCTGATTTGGAGCTGGTGCAGGGAATCTCCCCCCGGCTGCCTCCCTTCCCTCGGTGCATCCCTGGCTTCACACAGCTCTGGTTCCTGTTACTAGGATGCCCCAAGGGATTTTTCGGGAAGCACTGCAGGAAAAAGTGCAACTGTGCCAACCGAGGTCACTGCCATCGGATTTACGGAGCGTGTCTGTGCGATCCCGGCTTGTACGGCCGCTTCTGCCACTTGGGTACGCTTGTCCTCGCTGTTACCCTGGGGTTCCAGCCTTCTGGGAAGGTTTCTGCCCCTGTCCCTGGTGCCTGACCAGCTCTTCCCTTTCCCTGCAGCGTGTCCCAAGTGGGTGTTCGGGCCCGGCTGCTCCCAGGAGTGTCAGTGCCTGCAGCACAATTCACGGGACTGCGACCCCAGGGACGGCTCCTGCCACTGCAAACCTGGCTACCATGGCCAGCGCTGTGAGATCAGTGAGTGAGGCACACACCCCCACGTTCAGCTGCCTTGGAAAAGATCTTTGAAGGCATCAAGCTCAACCTATGACTCAACACCTCCTTGTAACCCAGAGCATGGCACTGACTGTCACATCCAGGGACAGTGACTCCACCACCTCCCTGGCCAGCTCACTCCAACACCTGACCACCCTTTGTGAAGAATTCTTCCTAATGTCCAGCCTAAACCTCCCCTGGCACAGCTTAAGGCTCTGTCCTCTGGTTCTGTCGCTGTTCCCTGGGAGCAGAGCCCAACCCTCCCCTGGCTGCACCCTCCTGTCAGGGAGCTGTGGAGAGTGATGAGGTCTCCCTGAGCCTCCTCTTCTCCAGGATAAACATCCTCAGCTCCAGCTTCTCACAGCACTTGTGTTCCAGACCCCTCACCAGCCTTATTCCCTTCTCTGGACACGCTCCAGCCCCTCCATGTCCTTCCTAAATTGGGGGGCCCAGAACTGGACACAGCACTCGAGGTGCTGCCCAACCAGTGCTGAGCACAGGGGAAGAATCACTGCCCTGCTCCTGCTGGCCACACCATTCCTGATCCAGGCCAGGAGCCATTGGCCTTCTTGGCCACCTGGGCACACTGCTGGCTCATGTCCAGCCTGCTGTCCATCAGTGCCCCCAGGTCCCTTTCTGCCTGGCCACTGTCCAGCCACTCTGTCCCCAGCCTGGAGCACTCCAGGGGTTGTTGTGGCCAAAGTGCAGGACCCAGCACTTGGTCTTGTTAAACCTCATCTCCCTGGATTTGTCCCATCCATCCAGCCTGTCCAGGTCCCTCTACAGAACCCTCCCACCCTTCAGCAGATCCACACTCACATCCAGCTTGGTGTCATCTGGTGTCACTCTGTTCCCGTGAAGCACCTCCCTTTCTCCTCCCATGGCCTCTTTTCCCCATTCATTTTCTCAGGGGAAAGCTCTGCTTGCTTTCCACCCTCCCAGACTGTCTCACCTCTCGCTCAGGAGCACACCGTGCTCACACTCAGCCCCGTTCCGAGGTCAGCAGGAGCTGTGTGGTGGGTGGGGACAGCTGTGACAGTGGGTGGTGGGGACAGCTGTGACAGTGGGTGGCACCCAGGACTGGGCTCTACAGGGGCAAGGAGAAATTTCAGAGCTTCTTTCTCTCTAATTATGGTTGTTCACAGGCTGTGACCCTGGGTATTACGGGGATGGCTGCAAGAAGAAGTGCAGCTGCTCTCCAGGAGTGACCTGTGACCCTGTCACCGGCGAGTGTCACCAGGAGTGTCCCCCAGGCTATCACGGCCAGCACTGTGACCAAGGTAAGGCAGGGCCCTGCAGGGCAGCTCTGTGTGTGCTGGGAACTCACTAATCCTCACAATTTTGCTTCACAAAATGACACAAAGCATTTCTAGGATCCCCTGAGAGCCCCAGCCCACTGCAGGTGACCTGGTGGGTGGCCAGTAAAGACACAGGAGCTGCCATCCACAGGTCTCTGTGAGACACTGATACTTCTTTAAAGTGGGAGAGTGAATTCCTTGTATAAAACAAGCCTGATTCAGAAAAGAACAAGGTCTCACTTCACCCTGCCTCTGGACATCTCAGTGTTGGTAGATGGAGGTGATTGGGATCTAATTATCCTTCCCTGGCCTTGATGTCTTTTCCCTTCCAGGCAATCCCTGCCCAGCACAACAGTATCACATTTACTCCTCTGTTCTCTATTCCTTATTGAAACTCTTGTTTCATCTGCAAGTGCAAAGGAGTATTTTACATTTAATTAACCTTTGGATTCAAACTTCTGCCTCTCTATGAACCTCCTAGAGCAGTTTTGTGCTCTTGCCATGAAGGGTTAGTTGATGAGACAGTGACTGAACTGCCCAGCTCTGTGTCTGTGTCCAACACTCAGGCTCTGAGGGTGCAGATTTCAAGATCCTGGGGGTGGTTTGTGTGCCAGAGAGCTTCACTTTGGGCAGACAAAGGTGCTTTGAGAGAACCTAAAGGCAGTGAGTCATTGGCACGAGGTGATGATTACAAAATATGAGCACGGTGTTGGAAAAGAATGAGTTCTGCCAACCGCTGAGCTGAGTGGCGACTGAAAAATCAACCCACTCTTGCTCTTGTGAGGCTGGGGCCTCCTGAACCCACTGCAGCTGGTTGGGTCCTGCAGAAAATGCAAAAAGTTGCACACCTGAAGACAGACTGCAGCAGCAGAAGACACTGCACGGAAAGGTTGAAAGGGGCCAACATCTGGATTTGGATTGGAGCATCCCAGGAGTTTCTGCACTACAGGAGTGTAGCCAAGCTCTGCTTCACCCCAGCCCAGAAGCTGCAACCATCAACCTCATTGATCTGCCAGCACAGGGTCATGGTGCAGAGCCCCATCTCTGACAGGACTTGGTGGAACAAGAGCTGCAGAAAGCAGCAAAAATCCCAAAGCAAGTGCTACCACGGTGCTGGCAGGAGAGATGGGAGCAGCTCCTGCAGGGCTGTGCTCCCTGGCTGGGTCTGACAGCCCTGAGCCCCCATGGTGGGATGCTGTGGCCCCTGGAGTCCCTGGAGCCTTGTCAGGCTGGGTGCTCCCACTCGGGATATTTTAAAAAAGGGTAAGAAAGGAGCTGAAGGCTGTAGGGGGGAGTCACAGGAAATAACACAAATATTTGTATAGAAATAGTAGGCTCTTGGCTGTTGTTCGGATCTGGAAATTATTAAAGGGTGAAGACAAACATCTGCCATCAATTAGCGAAGAGGAGGAATAACAAAAACTCCACTGTGTCACTGGAAATGGAGGCGCTGCGTTTCCTCCGCGGTTTGTCAGTGCCGCTGTGTTCGCCTCTGCTGAAGCTTTGCAGAACTTTGGCTTTGCTGAGCGTGGAGCTCTTGTGGGGGACTCAGAGAGGATTTAAGGATCTTTGGTCTGGGGCCCTCAGTTTGCACGTCACCAGCTGGTTGCTAAATTGTGGCACAGGGGTACAAAGATCAAACCGAGCTGGGATCAGCAGAACCACGCTGGCATCCAGAGCAGAGGGAAGGAAAAGCATTTATTCCTCCTCTGCATGAGGATGCTCCTTCTTTCCTGCTTTCCATCTGTGTCCTGCTGCAAACCTGGCTGCTTCTTAAAATCCTGGTGCTCAGATCCTGGAGGCATTCAGCCAGGGAGGTAAAAACCCTCACAGCATCTTGGAAAAGCCAAGGGGTGGATTGATGTGGGGCGTGACCCCAGTGTTCTGCACCCCAGCCCAGAGACCAGGGTGGCTTGGGTAGAGTTCTTGTCCAAAGACTGGACACCAGTTTGGCTTCAGCTTTTGGAGATGTGAGTGGTCACTCTAGCATGAAGAAACACTTGTTGAAAGGATGCACAATAAAGAGAAGTGACAGGCAGACAGACCAGGGTGGCGGTGGCAATGCTGGAGGTGACCAGTGTGGCTCTGAGTGGTCACACCCAGGCTCACAGAATCATTAATGTTGGAAACATTACACAGAATCACAGAATCATGGAAAAGACGTCCAGTCCAATCTTTGAGCAAACCCCACCATGCCACTAAACCATGAGCACAGGTGGGAACCTCTCTCAGCTGTTCCCCACAGACCCAGAGGCTCCTTCAGCCTGCAGGGCCAGGTAAAATTGGTAAAATGCTCTTGGGCTCCTTGAGGGGGGAAGTTCTGACCCTGCTGTTCTCCCACAGAGTGCCCTGAGGGGACATTTGGGCCAGGCTGTCAGCATCCCTGTGCCTGTGGAGAAGCATCCTGCGACAGGAGCACGGGGCAGTGCCACTGCCCACCTGGCAGGACAGGACACGACTGTGCCCAAGGTGAGTGTGGGCAGCAAACACTCAGGGATTTCGGTGTACAGGGACGGATTTAGGTGTAGACCTATTACTTTTGTTTTGCTAAAATTCATTTAAAAAACACCCAGTGCAGTTAGAATCACCTTTGTGGAAAGTTAGAAAAAATTACAGCTTTTGATGGTGAGTCTTAAACAGCACAATGAAAAAGATGAAGATGTTTTTGATTGTCACAGTCCTCAATGTAGGAGAGGAACCTTTTTTTATTGATGCATGTTTTTAATTGCCTTTACCAGATTACTCTTTAACTGCTGGAAAACTATAGAATCTGAAATTGAAAGCTTTTGCATGATTCTGCAGTACTGCAGCAGCTGGAAGGAATTAGTCACATAGAGATGTCCTGCTCTTAAGAGTTTGGCTGAGCAATGGAACTACGTGTGCACAGTGCTTACCATACATTTCAAGCTGCCTTTTTTTCCAGGCCCTGGAGCAGCTTAGGACCAGTTGGAGAAGGATTCTTGCCCTGGTTTTAGCAGTTTAGCCTTTTGCTCCTTCTTTGCAGCTCCCAGCGTGTCCTGGAGCAGTGAGTGATGTGCTGTCCATGGTGTGACAGCAGCTGTGGGGTCCCTGTGCCAGCAGCACCATTTCCCACTGAGGAGCCCTTGGAGCTCCCCACAAGTGGATACAAATCCAGAATTGGCATGGAGATCCTGGAGTGAGCTCAGAATAGCACTTAGAGAGGCTCACATGCTGCCTGTGGAGCAGGCACGGCCATGCTGTGCTCGCTGGTGCTGTGAACAAAAATCCGCGTCTCGCATGAGCGCAGCAATGACGGCGACAGGGAACCCAAAAGGTCACACATTTCCCTCTGCCACCTCGGCTCTGATCCCAGTGCTGTGTGTTCTCTGTCTGCTCACGCTCCAGCTTGCCCTGAGGGTCTCTGGGGACCGGGCTGCCAGGAGATCTGCCCTGACTGTGCCAACAATGCCAGCTGTGACCCTGCCACCGGAGCCTGTCTGTGCCCACCTGGCTACACTGGCCAGCGCTGCCAGGATGGTGAGTGCAGGCTGGCCTGGGTCCCTCAGCTGGGATGTCCATCTCCAGCTGGAATGGGGGTGTTTCAGCTCAGCTGTAGTGACTGGAGCATCCAGTGACCAACCACTCAGCAGGGCAGGCTGAGCACTGTGTACATCTCTGTTTCCTCACTCATTGGGGTACAGGCTGGGCACTTCAAAGTCCCTCTAGCCCCATCTTCACTCTGGTAACTTCTGCAGCAGGAGAAAGGAGGCAAAATGCTGAGCTCCTCGCCCTGTTCAGCACCTGCACTGGGGATGTCAGAGCTGTGTCAGTGCTCGTAGCTCTGCCAAGCACCTCAGTCCCCAGCGGCTCTGCTGAGGGCCAGGGCTGCAGCAGCCACCTGCAGTCCCTCCCTGTTTCCCTTGGCAGTGTGTCCACCCGGCTGGTTCGGCCCTGAGTGCCAGCTGAGCTGCAGCTGTGGGAACGAGGGACATTGCCATCCGGTGACGGGGACGTGCAGCTGCCCGCCCGGCAGGACAGGGTACCACTGCCAGCGAGGTACAGCACCTGTGCCCTGCCACCCTCACCCCTGGGCCACTCTGACCTGTGCCGAGCTATGCTGCCATTGCTCTGTTCTCATCTTCATGCCGTGCCAGGGAAACCTCTCTGAAATCTTTTTGGTTTTTTTGCTCTGTCTGGTGCTGGCAGCGCCACTGGCCTGTCTGCAGCCTTGTTTGTCCCTGTGCCCAAGGGAGCTGTGCCCGCTGGTGAAGGCAGTGCTGTGCCCATGCTGTGCTCTCAGGTACACACCAGTGATGGGCTCCTGCCGTGTTTTTCCAGCCTGTGACCTGGGGCGCTGGGGCCCCGACTGTGCCCACACCTGCAACTGCAGCAACAGCGACGGCAGCTGCAGCGCCGAGACCGGGCAGTGCCAGTGTGAGGCCGGGTACACGGGCACCCACTGCGAGCAGAGTGAGTGCTGCCCCTGCCCTGCCCTGCCCTGCCCTGCCCTGCCCTGCCCTGCCCTGCCAGGGACTGCTCCAGGGAAAGGCATCGCTCCAGCCCAGTCCCCTGCCCTGCCTGCGATGCTGATCCTGTCCCCAGGGTGGTTGGGTACTGTGGGTACACACCTGTAAGGGACAGGTTAGAACTTACTGGTTCTTGTAAAAAAAAGCAGCCAGATATTTTTATTCCATTCAGAATCCAAGCTCCTGCCTTAGGATAGCTTCTCTGGGACCCAGGGAAGGACAGAATCCTCATTCTCATTTCTTTCAGAGTGCCCAGAAGGGTGGTTTGGGCTGAGCTGTCGGCACCAGTGTCAGTGTGACAATGGAGCCACCTGTGACCACGTCAGCGGGGCCTGTACCTGCAGCCCAGGCTGGCGAGGAACCTTCTGTGAGCACGGTGAGTACCTGACCCTGGGGACCAGGGCTCCATCCCAGAGGGCTTGTGCTCCCTGTCTGACTTTGTTATCCTGTTACAGCACGGAGAATTCCTCAGGATGGTCATAGGGGGAGCAACAAGTCTGCAAACTGCTGCCTCTGCTTTTATTTCTGGAGGGAAACAGTCTAGGGAAAGAAAAATGTAAATAATAGGTGGTCCAGTGATTGCACAGCTGCTGTGGTCACCCGAGTGTGTACATGTTGCACACAGGGTCTTGGAGCAGCCTCTTGGAGGGGTCCCTGGATGCATGGATCCAGCTCCCCCAGCAGCCTCTCCGTGGTCAGGAACCTCAAGCCATCACTCTCCTGATCCACCACTGCCCTCTCCTGTACCTGGAATGTCCACAGTGGACTCACATCCCGGATCTGCTGCCCTTAGCAGTGACTCTCACACTGGTGCAGCCTCACATTGGCCAAAAAGGCCACCAAGGGGCAGGCACCTTTTCCCACTGGGAGGGCTCCAGCTCTGCATTTTGTGTGGATTTCTCTTTTGTTTTCCACAGCCTGCCCTGATGGATTTTATGGACTGGAGTGTCGACAAGCCTGTGACTGCCTGAATGGTGCCCAGTGTGACCCTGTGACAGGACAGTGCCAGTGTCCTCCCGGCTGGACTGGCCCCCGCTGTGCCCAGGGTAGGTGTCTGTGGCCAGGACAGGTGTCTGTGGCCAGGGCAGGTGTCTGTGGGAGGTGCCCATCCTCCCCTCCATGGGCACTCTGGAGCCAGGGCTATCTCTGCTGCCAGGTCATAGGAACTGGAGATCTGGGCTGTGTGTTCCCCATTTGTGATTTTCTATGTGTGGAATTTAATTTGGGTTCAGACTTGGGGGGGCTCTGCCTGAGCATGCTGTGACTGGATGCAATGAGGGCTTGGGCATCCAGCAAAGCTGCTCCCAAATAGGTGAAGGATGTAACACAGCTGGTAGCAATGTCTGTGTTCAGATGTCAGGCCTATAGGACACATGATTTCCCTGTAACCCCACAAAACCCCCTCACACAGCAGCCAAGCACCACTGACAGACCCTCTGCCAGCCCTTGGGAGGGTTGGTAGGAGCCTGGCTGCTGTAATTCCCACCCAGTGCCCACCACTCCTGCCTGCTCTGCTCCCCTGCAGTGTGCCAGGAGAACAGGTACGGCCAGAACTGCAGCCAGAGCTGCCACTGCTTCAACAACGCCACGTGCAGCCACATCAGCGGCCTCTGCCTCTGCTCCGAGGGCTGGACAGGACCCTCCTGCCAGCAAGGTAACCCTTCCCAGCCCTGCCAGCAAGGGAGGGAATGCCACTGCCATTCCTCGGGGTGGGCGGAACGCTGCTGCCTCTCACCTGAGCAGGTGAAATACCAGAAGTTGTTCTGTGGGCAGCTGAGCAGCCTTGAGGATGTCATTGGCTCCTCTTGCATCAAAGCTGGTGTTGCTCTGTATCAGACCATCCACCCACAGCGTGGCACAAGCTTCCAGAGCTGTGTCCTGACTGGGATGTTTGTCCTGTTTCTCCCTCAGCCTGCCCAGCGGGTTTTTTTGGAAAGAACTGCCAGCAGCGCTGCCTGTGCCAGAACGGTGGCACCTGTGACCCGGCCACGGGGGCCTGTGCTTGCCCTGCAGGCTGGACAGGGCTGGCCTGCGAGCTGGGTGAGGAAACAGCCAGGGAAACAGCTCTGGGGCAAACACACCCTGGTTTGGGATGGTTTTCCTGTGGAGGTCGGAGGTGACGTGCAGGGGGTTGGGTGCATGGTCCTTGCTGCACGTGTGGGGCAGTGGGAGCTGGGAGGGTGACCCCAGGACAGTGTCTGACCCTGTGTCCCTGCCAGCCTGTGCCCAGGGGCAGCATGGCCTGGACTGCCAGCAGCGCTGTGAGTGCCAGCACGGGGGGCTCTGTGACCACCGGACAGGACACTGCCTCTGCCAGCCCGGCTGGACTGGTGACAAGTGCCACAGACGTAAGTGGGGCAGGTGGGGGCTGGTCTGGGCATCGATGGCTCTGTCAGCACCTCCTGCTGGGTCTGGGGGCTTAAGCAAAGACACAAAATTCAGATTTCAGCAAGCAGGGAGTTGGCAGTGCCATGGTTTTCGCTGTGCCTCAGTTTTGCCCACTGCTGCCCTTTCTCCTTCCATTGAATCACAGAGGGGTCTGGGTGGGAAGGGACATTAAAGACCATCCAGTTCCAACCCCACCTGGCTCCTGTTGTCTGAGGACTGTCCTGAAAGTGCTGGTGCACACCCAGAGCAGCCTGTGGCAGTGCTGGTGGGGTTCCCAAAGGCACAGACCCCCAGCCATCAGTGCAAAACCACAGGCTCCAAGCAGGGACGAAGGCAGGGCAGCAGCCTTGCATGGTGAAAGCAAAATGCCAAGGGAGGACCTTCCTCTGGCACAGTTATTTTAATGGATTGTCCCCTTTCCATTCTTCCTTCTGTGTGTCCTTGTATCACACCAACCCTCAGGGCCTGGCTTTGGTCCCAAACCCCAGCAAACCATGGCATCTGTCCCTTGGTGGCTCCATGTCTGCTGTACCCATAGTTGTGACACACACCCTGGCAATCTCTTTCCCATGAGGAAGGGTTTGAAAAGGCTCTTGGCCTTTGGAGCAGTGTCAGGGACCTCATCAGTATCAGCACACCAAGCAGAGATCCACAAGCTTCTTCCCTTCGAGGGTCATGACATCTCAGCTTGGCACGTCCTTAAATCAGGGTATAAAGTGCAGTGGCAGCACTTGGCAGCTGACATCTGGCACAAGGGAGCTGCCACCAGAGCCTCAGCTGCCACCAGCCACTCTCAGGTTTCCTGCTGGGAATGTTTTTCCATTCAGGAGGCTGTAAACAGCTCTGCTGGCAGCTGAAGCTTGGCCATACAAATCACCTCACTGGATCCTGCCACACCCTGAGGGACAGTGTCCCGTCCCAGCATTGTCACTTGCTCCCAGAACCTCACACAGCCTCAGCAGCACCAGGCTCCAGGCAGTGTTATGCACTTTTATAATTTCTTTCAATATAAATGAGTGAAGAAACACACCCAAAAGGTAGACATTATGTTGTTTTTTTTTTAAAAAAAGAACTAGGGTCCTGTCAGCTCCCCATGGCTATATTTCAAGCTGCCTGTGTATGCACAAGAGACAGACTCGGTCAGGTGTGGAACTATTGGGAAAAAGCCCCAAAAAGTCACTTTTTTTTGTGCAACTTGTCCTCTCTGCTGTGTTTTCATCCCTGAAGCTTGTCCAGAGGGGCTGTTTGGGGCACGCTGTGAGGAGCTCTGTGACTGTGGGGACAACGTCTCGTGCCACCACGTCACTGGTGTTTGTGACTGTCCCCATGGCTGGAGGGGCCGGCGCTGTGAGAAAGGTGAGGAGCACTCCTGGGTAAGGGAAATCCAGGGAAACCCCGGCTGCTCCAGAGCCTGGGAAGAGGGAAACTTCATTTTTAATGACAATTACAGGTTGTGGCAAAATATTTTGATGCTGTGACACAAGATGCTGCTGGGCTGGTTCGGCACCGGGGCAGGAGCCCCTCGGGCTCTGATGCCTTCCAGGCTTTAGCAACAACTTAAAATCCAGGCAGGAGACTGACATCCCGCTGTTTGTTTTCCCACAGCCTGCCTGCCAGGTTTCTTTGGGAAGAACTGTGCCAGTGGCTGTGCCTGTCCCCTGGGAGTGCCCTGTCACCATGTCACCGGCCAGTGCGGCTGCCCGCCAGGACTGACCGGCTCTGGATGTGAAAAACGTGAGGAGATGGGAATGATCCTCTTACAGCTCTGCTGACAGGCTCTGGGAACGGCATGGGTCAAGCAATTCCTACAGAAAATAGAAGGGAGAAAAAAAAAAAAGAAGATAAACAAGGAAAAAACCAGCCCAAGAGCAGAGCTGTGCCAAAGGAGCAACTCCCAGTCTGGCAGCTGGGTGCATGCCTGTGGAATGTTAGTGGGGCAGAGGGAGCCAAGTGGGAAACCAGAGCTGGGTATTTATCCAGAGGATTAGCAATAAATCACTATTAAAATGAGCTCCTGTGGGTATGAGCAAGTCTGGAAGAGACAGAGATGTGTGAGCACATTCCTTACGCGGAGGACAGTGCTGGATTTGCCCTCTGTGTGTGTGTGGAGCTTGCAGAAATGTGAGGGCAGGTAGGGCTGGCACAGCAAAAGGCATATAATGCCTTTAAGTACTTGCCTTTCCTTTCAATCCAAGTATTTCCTGGGGTGAATGAACCTTTTGCACGAGAGTCCCTTTGCTTTTTGGGTGGCAGAGAATTTTACTGCCATAAAAGGCTCTCTAAATCCTTGCTTAAAATAAGATGTTTTTTAAAAAGCCTTGCAGAGAGGGGTGGGATGGCCTCTGATCCACCTTGGTGCCCTGTCTCCTCACAGCCTGCCTGCCAGGGACCTTCGGGGAGGGCTGTGCTCAGATCTGCCAGTGCTCCGGAGCCACCCAGGAATGTCACCCTGTCACCGGGGCGTGTGTCTGCCCCCCCGGCTTCCACGGTCCCTCCTGCCAGCTGGGTGAGTCCTGCTCTGGTCCCACTGCATCCCCTTTGCAGCCTGAACATGCTGAAATCCCGCTGCCACGAGGGATGTGTGTGTGAGTGGAGTTCTGGGTGCTTTGGGGCTGCTCTGTGTGACAGAATGGGTCAGAACCCCTCTGACGGTGCCAGCCTGGCACAGACTGCTCCCAGCAGAGCTCTGTGCCTCCTCCTGGGGGGAGCATCCATGCAAACCCACCTGCTGGGTTTTCCCGGGCTGTCTGCACCTTGTCCTTGTATTTTTATCCGCTGTTTGTCGTCCCCTCAGAGTGCTCCCCGGGGTGGTACGGCCGTGACTGCGAGAGGCAGTGCCAGTGCAGGAACGGGGGCAGCTGTGACACTGCCACGGGCATGTGCCACTGCCCCGCGGGCTTCATCGGCGCTGACTGCGGCATCGGTGAGTGCTGCCTCAGCCACAGGGGCTGGGCAAGCAGGGCAGCCTCCTCAGGGGCGTGGGAGGGGTGGGAGGTGCAGACCCTGCCCACAGAAAGGCTGCTGAGCCTGTGGGGGATGAGCAGCACACCAGGGATGACTCCTGAGAAAAGCTCCTCGTGTCCTTGGTCCACCTGTGCTGGCAGCAGTGCCCTCTGTGTCCCAGGGAATGAGCTGCAGATGACTGTGTGACTGTGCTTGCTGTCTGCCTTAGCCACGGGAACATTTTTCTGCTCTGTTTATTTTATGATAAAGTGAATTCTGACACACCGTGGCCTCGCTGTATTGCTGTACAGGGCAGGGCTTGGAGCAGCCTGGCTTAGTGGGAGGTGTCCCTGCCCATGGCAGGGGGGTTGGAAACAGATGATCTTTAAGGTCTCTTCCAACCCAAACCATTCATTCTATGATTCTCTAGCAGGGCTTGAGGATCCTTTTGCCTCCCATCACTCAGCTCCAGTGCTGTACAAAACTTTCCCTCTTCCACTTCCCACCTCCCCAACCCTGCTTTGGCCTGACCGAGGTTTTCCTCCCTCCAGGATGCCCCGCTGGCCGCTACGGCCAGGACTGTGCATTGCTGTGCCCCTGTGGGGCCGGTGTTCCCTGCCACCCTGTCACCGGAGACTGCGTGTGCCCTCCAGGCAGAGCTGGCCCCACGTGTGAGCAAGGCAAGTGTGAGGCGTGCATCAGGACTGTCAGGCAGTGCTGGGAAAGGTCCTGGGCAGGAATTGATTTCCTGGCCCTGAGATCTCTGCTCGTGGTCCCTGTGCCCACCCTGTGCCGCTGTCTCTGGCCCTGCAGGTTGTGAGAAGCATCGCTACGGGCTGGGCTGCCAGCAGCCCTGCTCCTGCCTCAACGGGGGGCTCTGTGACACAGCCGATGGCTCCTGCTCGTGTGCGCCAGGGTGGACGGGGAAATCCTGCGAATTAGGTAACCCTGGCCCGGATTTGTCCCGCGGATTGTGCCGCACCCACCCAGTGACTGTGGAGCTCACACAATGGGTCCAGTTTCTGTTATCCCACCCGTGCCAGCCTTGCCCTTAGCTGAGCCCTCTGAAGGGTAGGTGTGGGGCTGCTGAGCAGCTCTGCCGCTCCTGTCGCCCGCAGAGTGCCCTCCGGGAAGGTTCGGTGCCGCCTGCCAGCTGCGCTGCTCCTGCCTGCACAATGCCACCTGCGACCCGGCCACCGGCACCTGCCGCTGTCCCGCCGGCCACTACGGGCCCCTGTGCGAGCACAGTGAGTGGTGACGGCGGGGACACATCGGTTTGGGGCGTGGGGGGGTCTCTAAAGCTCCTCCGGAGAGCAGGACACCGTGTGACACCGGTGTCACACTCCGGGGGACTCTCCCTGCAGAACACGGGTGTGACACCAGTGTCACACTCCGCGGGGCTCTCCCTGCCGGACACGGGTGTGACACGGGTGTCACACTCCGCGGGGCTCTCTCTGCAGGACACGGGTGTGACAGTGTCACACTCCGCGGGGCTCGCTCTGCAGGACACGGGTGTGACAGTGTCACAACCCGCGGGGCTCTCCTTTTCCAAGGGTTCACAGCGAGCTCTTGGCAGGCAGAAGCGGCCGAGAGGAGGTTTTTGATCCCTGCGTGTCCCCAGGGTCACAGCGGTGCCCTCCCAAGGCACACACATCCCCACTGCCCGGAGGTGCCGAGCAGATGCCGCGGAGCTGAGCTTGGAGCGCCTGGGCACACGTCGGGCAGGAAGGCTCTCTGCTTCTCCCTGCTGGGCTGACCGAGGCTCTGCTGCAGAGCTCCGCTCACCTACGGTCTAATGAGCTTTTCCCGTGCCAGGCTGTCCCCCGGGTTTCCATGGACAGGGCTGCCGGGAGCGCTGTGACTGCGAGCACGGGGCTGGCTGTGACCCCGCCACCGGGCGCTGCCGGTGTCCCCCCGGGCTGCGGGGCGAGCGCTGTCACACAGGTACCGCCCATCCTCCTCGCCCTCCCCGGGGGTCCCCGAGGGCCGGGCAGGCAGGGCAGGGGCTCTATTCCGTGTCTCACACAGGCTGCAAGGAAGGGACGTACGGCGAGGGGTGCCAGCATCTCTGTGACTGCCCCAGCGATGTGCCTTGTGACCCGGCCACGGGGCGCTGCCTGTGCCCCCCGGGCAAAACCGGCCCCAAGTGTGCTGCAGGTGAGCTGGACAGAGGAGGAAGGGGGCTCTGACACGGGAGTTTTGCTCCAGGAAGCTGGGAGGGGCTTTTTTCTGGTGTGTATCACACAGAGCGATATGTGGTGTTTGTGAGAGGGGCAGTGGCATTCACCTCTCTGGCCCCTGTTCGTCGTCAGACTTGAATGCAAATTCTCCCCCAGCCTCCCAGCGTGTGTTCAGATTGACACGGTCAAAAGGCTGAGGATCAAAGGCTGAAGGGACACCCTGGTGGCCTGGGGGTGCTCTGATGTCCTGTGTCACCACAGCAAAAAGCTCTCTCTGCCCTATCCCGCACCCAGCACAAGCACCCCGGGAAAAAGCTCTGAGCGTTCCTGCTCGGCTGCTGCCACGGGCTGCAGCCTGAGCAGCTCTGTGCCCTCCGCAGACTGCCGGCCCACCCAGTTCGGCCCCGACTGCCGCCTGCCCTGCCAGTGTGCCCCCAGCAGCTCCTACTGCAATGCCCGGAACGGGCAATGCCTCTGCCTGAACGGCCACACCGGACCCACCTGCCGGGAAGGTGAGGGCAGGGAAGGGACACGAGCAGCCGGTGCCACCCGGTGGGGAATCCTGGGGCAGAAGCCGAGGGGAGGCTGTGCCTGTGCTCAGGGTGTGGCTCCTGTCCCGGGTTTGGGTTTGGGAGCAGTAAATCAACTCAATCCAGTCACTTCTGCAGCACCTGCCTCTTCCCAAGTCCCTCGGTTGGTCTGTTTGCTGTCACTGCAGCCACGATGGAGGTTTATGAAGTCTCAGAAACAAAGCTGTTTAGCAGCCTGACCACAAATGTGCCCCTGGAAAAGCCAGGGCACAAATCCCACTCTGTGATGAGCATGCTGGAACAATGATCCCGTGCACCAACTGCAGTGAAAACCCCCACACTCCTCAATTCTGCCCAAACCATCACTGAACCTGCTGGCTCAGAGTCACCCCCGTGGGTGCTGGGCAGGGAGGGGTGGGGACAGGAGGGTCTGACCCAAACCCACAGACTGGGACCAGTGCTCCCAGTGGGGAGGGCAATGGGGAGGAGGCTGTGCCCCCAGGCCGGGCAGCAGTGTGGAGGGTCAGGCCTGCAGCAGGGCTGCCCACAGCAAGGACTGACCTGTCCCTTCTTCCCTTCCAGCCATGCAGTCCCTGCCACCCACCAGGCCACCACCACCCCTGGAGGGGCTCTGGCCAGCAGAGATATAGGTCCTGCTCCAGGAGCACTCCCTTGGTTTAGCCAAGCAGCCACCTGAAGAAGCCAATGACCTGTAATGAACTCATTCATGAGCCACATGAGCAGCTCTCGTCTCCTGACACCCCCAGCTGCTGCTTTTGGGGCGCTCTGAGCGAGGCTGAAGTGCCCAGTATAACCAGTTCACTGTGCCAGCGCGGGCTGGCCGTGAGGACACGTGTGCCCACACCAGTGCATGCCTTTGGCCAGAGACCAGATGACCAGTTCAGAAGGGATCGATTCTGGCCAGGGGACAGTGGACTTTGACAGCTCCTGACACATTGCTGACCTTCAACTTTTGAGTGCTGGGCTTGGGGAGGGGGCTGAAATCGTGGTCCAAATCAGGTATTTATGCATCAATATTTATGGGAAGCTGCACCACAGTGTTGTCAGGACTGATAGCTGACAGCACCTGGCTCTCCTGAGACTGGGCCTCCTATGGATGCACCACCTAACTTGAATTTTTTTTTTTTTAATTTGAATTTTCCATGGTGTTTTACTGTAAATGGCCATTTGCCAGGGGAAAATACAGAGCTCCAGCACTCACCTGCAGAGCTGGTGCCTCCTTGCTGACAGAACAGGCAAGTGCTGGCCAAGCTTGGCAGGGGCCTGGAGCCTGTTCTTCATGCCAGGAATTTGTCAGCCCATGGTGCTGCCCGTGTCATTTACTCCAAGAAGAAGCAAGCCTAAATCGGGTGTGGTAATCAGAGATACTGCTTGGATGGAGACAAAGTGCTCACACATCTGGTTGGTGCAAATCCAGATGGAATGGCCTTGCCCAGCCCTGAATCCTGAGTTATTTTGCCATTCCAGTCATATCCAGGAGCTGGCCACCTGTAGCAGTGGGGAATGTCATCATTCCAATGTCACCACATTACCCTGGCCAGGGCCCTCTTTGTCTGTTTGCACAAAGCTCCTGGGCAGGTGTAGCCACTGCCAGAACCCCAGATCTGCAGAGAAGAGGGACAGCCCTGTCCCATCCCATCCCATCCCATCCCATCCCATCCCATCCCATCCCATCCCATCCCATCCCATCCCATCCCATCCCATCCCATCCCATCCCATCCCCACTCCAGAGCTGCAGCACAGCCCTGCCCAAGGTGCTTGGTCTTTAAATTATTCCCACAGGGACCAACTGAAAATAATAAAAGAATTGTTTCTCTTCCTGATGGAATTTATTCTAATCTGTATATAACTTGTAATTTTGGGCTAATTCCTCTATTATTTTATTTCTTCCTTAACAGTATTTTTTTTTACATTAGATATCATTCTTGTGAAGAAATCATGTTAATATAATTATGTAGTGAAGGACCAAAATCGTGTTGTTGAGGTTGGCTGTTGGATAAGCAGGGAGCAGGAAGATTTTGTCCATGTGCCAAATGACCCCAGTCAGTGCTGCCAGTGGTGCTGCTGATTCTCCAGACAATCATCCCTCGGCTCCCCTTTGCCTTGGAGCTCCTGGGGCCTTGGAGGAAGGTTCCAGTGATTGGGAACAGCACAGGAGGAGGAGGAGGCCAGTGGAGATGCTGTGCCTCAATGGCTCTGCTCCAGGAGAACATGGAAACAGCCTTAAACATGGGGATAGATCCATCCTGTCCCATTGCAGCTGCAGCTCCGTGACTCCTGGCAGCTGCTCGGAGCACACCACGTGTCTGAGCATGGGACTGCAGCAGCCCTGTACCTGTGTTTTTATATAAAGTTCTTTTCCTGTTCATATTTCTTAATAAAGTTTGTTTGCTTCCTCTTTTGTTGTACTGTCTCCCTTTTCTGCATTTTTAATTTAGTGCTGATGAAAAATGTTACTTTCTCCACAGTTAAAAGAAATAAACAGAAAGCCTGGCTGAGTTTCTACTTACTTTACGTCTCTGTCAAATACCCCTGACAGCTGCTCCAGGTGACAGCAGGCTGGCAGGGGCTCTGGAGGGGGTTTCAGGAGATGTACATGTTGTGTGAGAACATGTAGAGGCCACAGCAATGCCACCAGCAGAATGAAGCCTTTTTTTAGGGCTCATCGTTGGCATAACCTGGCTCCTTGGAGCTGTCATGCTCAGGGACACTCACCACTAACAGAGAACACACGGTTCATTGGCATCCAAGAATTTATTGTTACCTTAATTTACAGTTGAACAGTTTGATCAGAACAGACCTTACATCAACGCTGCCCCTGTGAATGTGAAGTTGGCAGCGTATGGGGCTGGCTCACCCCAAAATTGTAGCTGCCATGTCCCCTGTACGGGGTGTGAGGGGCTGAGCCCTGGGCAGAGCCCCCTCCCAGCTGGGAGGAGGGAAAGGCAGGTGGGAGCTGCAGCACTGCTCCTCATCCTGCCCCTGCTTCCCCCTCTGCCTGGAGCATATCCCATTCCTGGTGCCAGAGCTGACTCCATGGGAACAACTCTGGCATCAAGTATTTTATCAAGTGACCAAAAGGTGTCTGGCATCACCTCACTGTGCAGGGCACGGCTCTGCCCAAAGGGCCTAGGAATTATTGTAGGGGGGAGAGACAGAAAAAAGAGAAACAGGAGCAAAATCTGGGTTGAGAAATAAGCCAAGCACATGGATTTAAGCTCCCAACAATCCCTGACTGGGGTGTGCTCTCCCCACACCAGGTGTGCTGGCCCAGATGTCAGCAGGGACGGAGATGGTGGCACGGGCACCTCAGAGCCCAGAACAGCTCCAGCCTTTCCAAGCCGAGCCCAGCCCTGTGCTGCTCCCGGAGCCTGTTCCGGGTCAGCAGTGCCAGCGCTGCCAGGCGTGCCCGGCGCCAGCTCTCTCAGAAGGAGCTGCTGTGTCACAGCTGCCACACACACCCGTCCTGGCCCGTGACATCTGCCACCTGAGACAAGCACAGCTCAAGAAGAAAGGCTCTGCTGCGGCTGCCTCCTGTCCGTGGGCTCAGTCTGCAGAGGTCTGGAGGTCCCTGAGGCAGAGGGGTCCCCCTGGGCTGTCCCTACACGTCGGTCTCGATTCGCAGCCGCTCCATGCGCCGCACGTTGCCCTCGGCGGCCACGCGGCTCGTGATGGGCCGGGCACAGGCCTGGGGGAACCAGCCCCGCTCCCCATCCCGCAGCCGCTCCCCAAAGCACCAGCCTGGGGGAGAACAAAGCAGTGACAGGGACAAGAATGGCCACGGATCCTGGGGGAACCAGCCCCGCTCCCCCCAGCACCAGCCTGGGAGAGAAGAGAGCAGTGACAGGGACAAGAATGGCCATGGATCCTGGGGGAACCAGCCCCGCTCCCCCCAGCACCAGCCTGGGAGAGAAGAGAGCAGTGACAGGGACAAGAATGGCCATGGATCCTGGGGATGCACCAATCCCCTCCCTTGGAGGCTGGCTAGAGGCATCCAGGGATGGCAGGGGAGGAGGTTTCGGATTTACTGCCTGCTCTGGGGGATGTTTTCTCTCACTTCTGAGGCCTGGTGCCAGCCACAGCCTGCACACAGGAGTCACCCCTAAGGAACAAAACAGCTGCCCATGGCAGTGCCACCTCCCTCAGCCCCCCAGGACTCATTGTCACCTGCTGGGACACAGCACCAGCCAGTGCCACGGGTCTCACCAGCAGCCAGGGGTTCCTGGAAGCTGCTGCAATTGCTAAAATCCCAGTCCCTGGGGATCACTGAAGGTTCCCCCTGCCCCAGCTCTGCTGAGGTTAGAGCCTGCTCCAACCCAGGCACTCACCGTCCTCTTCCCCCAGCACCAGCACCACGTCTGCCTGCTGCAGGGACAGCTCATCTGCCTCCTTGGCCAGGTAGGCACGGGTGACCTCCACCTGGCTCAGGTCTGCAGGACAGGGGACAGCAGGGACAGTGAGCAGGCACAGCCCCCTGCTCAGCCACGACCCCCCTAGCTGCCCACCCAGTGCTCCACAGCACAGCATGCTCCATTCCCTCCTGTTCCTGCCCCTTATCCCTCCCAGCTTGTCAAACCTCCTCTAACAACAGCTGAAGGCATTCCTGGAATTCCTGTGCCTCCCAGGAAATGCATTTAAGGTGAATTGTGACTGATAACTTCATGGGAGGCAACTCCTAAGGAGCAAGGCGTGGGGTTTTCCTCTCCATTGGCAGGAGTGGAGGAGAACCAGGTAGAAACCTGGGCCTGCAAATGCTCCAGTGCAACAGGGAATGCCAGCAGAGTCAGGCTGCCCTCAGGCACACGGTACCTCCTTTGGGAGTGGTGTCAGGCTTTTCCTTCTCCCTGTGCATCAGCGCTGCCATCCACCGGGCCCGGTCACTCCTGCCAGGGGGAAACACAAAGAAAGCCTTAGGACAGCATCCCTGTGGCCAGCAGCAACTGGGACATTTCCAGCAGGAGTTGGGAGTCCATTCCCAGGGGAGTCAGATTGGACAAACATTGATCAGACTATACAATATAAGGACACTTCCCAAGTGGCACACATGGCCCAGCTGCTTTGCTTCACTTGGACAGGGGAAGCTGGTATGGGAATTACATGGGAAATATAAGAGAGAGGAAGCAACAGAGCCTGGGAGAAGCCTGTGCACATCCCCAGTGCTGGGAGGAGGAGCGTGGGGGTGAAGGGAGATGTGCAGAAACCTCAGAGGATTCCCAGGGCACCAGTTCATCCCACGAGCGCAGCACTCACAGGGTCTCTGCTGACAGCAGCACCTCTTCCCGCCGGCCCTCGCTGTCCTTCTCCAGCACCACTCGCAGCAGGTGCCCCCCAGCCTTGCCAGGAGGAGGGGAGGGTGGATCTGAGCTCTCCACCTTCTCCACGGTGACCTGGTCCAGTGTGGCGTAGTTCATGACTGTGTAACTCTCCTCGCTGTGACACAGACGGGATCAGCGCCTCAGCTGTGGGGTCTGGGCCAATTCCCAGCTCCCAGCTCAGCACAAGAGGCTCAGCAGGCATTGCCAGAGCAGCCTGGAGCTGATGCTCAGGGTGGGACATGGATCTGGGGATTTGCTGGCCACCCACCCACCAAGACAAAGCCACTGGTGGGACTGAGAGCTTCTCTTCTGGCTGACAAGAGACACCTCAAAAAGGTAAAAACCAGGGAAATCTCACAGATTTCTCTGGTATGTGCTGCTCGGGAAATTGGGGTTTAATCCCCTAGCTGTTCTGCAGGGAAAGGCAGGGCCCTCCCTCAACCTCACCTCTTCTTCTTGGTGATGATGAGGACATCGTTGAACAAGAAGAGGTGGCAGAGACGGCCGGCGCCGCGGCGGAAGAGCCCGGCCTCCTCCGAGAGCAGCAGGTACAGCTCCCCGCGCTTCAGCAGCCACCGCGACACCGAGATCAGCGGGAAAGGCTGCAACAGAGCCACGGAAAGGCTGGGTCACTGCCCTCCTCACCAGCAGCAGGCAAAACTAAGGCAAGAAGTGAAGCTGCAGTGGCTCTGGGGTCATTTGGGATGGACACACCACGTATGTTGAAGTGTCTTTTAAAAAGGAATTTCCGGAAGGCAGGTGGAAGGTGCAGTGCACCTCACTCCAGCACAACAGAGATGCAGCCCCTGGGCCCCAAACAGTGGGTGACACTGTCATGGATTTACCATACCCTTCAGAAACTGCCTGCATCCAATAGCCCAGTCCAGGCTTCCCAGAAGGATTCCCAGCACAGATCTGACCTGCTTAAAAAGGCTCCAGAAGACCTCCCACCACCACTTCTACAAGACCTCACCTTTTTCTTGCCGAATTCCAGCTGTTTCTGCAAGGTGTACATCTGCTCTGTCCTCTCCATAGCCCGAGCTCCCTCATTGCAGCTCTTGACCAGCTGGGAAGAGAAAAACATCCCAAGGGAAACAGAGAAGGGTTGGACACTGAGCCAAATCATCTCCCACACCACCCCCAGCATTAGGGGCTGTCCTGCTGCCCTGAGCAGGACAGACAGACAAATCCTGGCACAGGCTTCACACCAGGTTTGGGAAAAGGCAGTGGGATGCTCTCCTGGAGAGAGATAGCACATGGGCTCTGCCTGGAGAAGGACTCAAGTGAGCTTGTACCAAAACTGAGGAGCAACAGGAAGAGGAAGAATGAATCATCTGAGAAGAGCACAAGGCAGGAGGATGGACACACACAGAGGGGAGGATTCTGCTCGGATGTGAGAGCAGGACAGACTGGGAGCAGCAGGGATGTGCTGCCAAGAGCTGCTCTTCAGGGTGATGAAAGAAGAGTCACCACTGACACGGTGGTGGCCACAATCTCCGTGGCCCTTTGGCCTGTGTGACTGACCAGTGGATGGGAAAATACAGGGAGATGAGATCCAGGAGCAGGGACAGTGCACAGCTCGTGACTCCTGCACACCACACTTCCCTCTCTGCTACACTCGCTGCCCTTTCCCCAAATCCCCAAAAACCATCCTGAGAGTTGTCTCAGGAAGGACAAAGATGGGCCAAAGAGGAAAGAAGAAAAGAGGACAAGAAAAAGGAACAAACCAAGATCAGGTGACAAAGGCGAGAAGGGAAAAGAAGTGTTCATCCAGCAGCTGTTTGGAGCAGAGGAGCCTCAAGTGAACTGATGCTGGGAAGGACATGAGAGGCTGGAATGGCAGCGTTGGATCAGTCTCCAGAGGGCTGAGCTGGCAGGAGGAGAGGTGGAGGGCTGGCAGCTGGGCCTCACCTTGCTGATGGCCTTCACAGCGCGGGTGGCAGCTCCGTACGCTGCAGTGCGGGCGTTTGTTTTTTGCTGGACCGTCTGGAATTCCAACATAAGAAGCTTTAGGGACATTGCACCACACAGAAGGGAGCATCAGCTCCAGGATTTCAGGATGCCACACGTGGATTGAGCTGTTCCCAATGGTCAAAGGAAGGTTTAACAGTGCTGGCAGCTGGGACTATGGGGGTTTAATGTCTGATATGGCCACTCCCTGGCCCTCACCCCTGCAACCCACCACAGACTGGAGCAGTTACTGGAAATCCCACATCCAGCAGCCTGGCCATTTAGAGCAGATTTCCATGAAGAATGCAAGACCTGCTTTCCATTCCTGGGCTGCCTGACCACCCATCAATCAGGACACTTGTGCCACCCCACCCTGAGACCCAGATACGTCACAGAAGAAGCTCAGGTTGCTCAGATGGGTGGCACTAAGACATGAAGTGTTATTCACAGAGCTTTAAGATGCACACCTGACACTCCCCCAGAGAAGCAGATTTCTCTGGATATAAATCACAGAATATGCTGAGTTGGAAGGGACCCATTAGGATCAACTCCTCGTCCTGCACAGGACACTCCAAGAATCCCACCATGTGCCTGAGAGTTATCCAATGCTTCTCCTGAATACAGGAGCATCCAGGCTCAGCATCCAGGGCCCAGCTCCAGAGGGCTGGAAGTCCAAGCAGAGGCTGTCCCAGGCTCAGCAAACAAAGGGAATAGCAGAGTCACCTCTTCAGAGGTGCCAAGCAATGCCACTGTGTGACTACTTACATCAAGGAGCAGAGGAAGCCGTGTTACCCTCTGCATGGGCAGAATGAGAAATGAGATCATTGGCAGGCCTCCACACTCTGGTTTCCTTTCAATTTGTTTCAGGGTCTCTTTAAATAAGGGGTTTGTGGTTCTGGAACAGGACAAGAAAGCTCCATTAACTCTGTTCTTCACTTGTCAGGATTTTCCAGCAGCTCTCCACACATGGGAAATGCAGAGCAGTGATGGCACTGCCTGAGTGCTCATTGTCACTCTGCCAGGCTCGGAGTGCCCAGCTGGGCAGAAACAGGACTGATCCTACAGCAGGTGCTGGAAAGGCACCCAGAAAGAGAAGGTGAGCCCACCAAAAGGTGGGTAAAGCCACAGATGTACCAACAACAGAGTCAGACTTGGCCTGGAGATGAACAAGGCCCATCCATATCCGTACATGTTACCGACCTCTGCAACCCCCGGAGCCCAGAGCCCCTCAGAGGAAATTCCTTGGCCAGCCCAAGCCCTGTACTCACAGCAGCTTATCCAGTGTCCTCTGCTGATAGACTTCATTGGAGCAGTAGCTGATGTAGGGGTTGAAGTGTTTCGAGGCGTGTTCCTCCACGATGTCACTGATGTCAGGGATCAGGAGGTGCTCCTGGTGTCGCTTCTCCAAGTCTTCAAAGAAGCTGAGGAGAGAATTTAAACAACCTCACCACATGACTCACTAGGGTCAGACAAACTGAATGTTCCCACTGTGGCTTTTCCCAGAGGAGATGGGGCTGGGATCCCTTCTGGCAGGGCAGCTCCAGCAGCTGAGACACCCACGCCTTCCCCAGAGGCACACGCTTCCTCCATTCCTGCATGGGGTCCCTCCTCCAGCTCAGCTCTCCATGAGGTTGAGTTTCTGTCCCATCGAGAAGCCACAAGCCCTCAACATCTCCACAGCCATTCCCAGAGCTGCTGCATCCTCCTCCTGCTGCTTTCCCACATGGACACAACTTGCCCAGCACCGGCTCCCAAGTCATTTCCTCCCCACCTCCCAGCAAGTACCTTCAACAATCCAAGGGATGGTTGGTTTAGCACTACAAATAAAAAGCTCAGGGTCCCCTCCCAGGCCTGGCTGGTCCCAGCCCCAGGCCCCACTTGCCTCGTGCTGACTGTCAGGATGTCTCCAATGTTGGAGAAGAGGTGGTGGTGCTCTGTCTGAGTCATGGTCTCCTTCAGCTCCTCTGACCTCATGAAGTGGCCCACCAGGATGCTCAGGCTGTGCATGTAGGAGTACTCAGAAGTGATGATCTCAAACATTGCCTGGAGAAAGATGCAGCAACATAAACTGACTGGACAAAGCTGGGAATTAATTGTTAAATCTTATTTATACTCTTTTCACAAACCCAATAGAAATTACTTGGCTCCATATTGGTTCTCTGTCAACTCATGCATGACCTGGCCAATACCAATAATCCCAGTGTGCTTTAGGACACTCAGTTGTTGAAAAGCCATGAAGATGTTTTCCCTTCCCATGGAAACTGCCTGTTTCCCCACTGATTTGTGCAGGTGAGCCCTCCCAGCACTGCCCAGTTCTGCAGTCCTGGAAGCAGCAGCACCATGAGCTGAGCTGAGCCCAGCTCCACCTAGAGCCGACCCTGACAGAGCCACGTGTGTCCCACGGCCTTTGGTGCCTGTGCTGTGCTCCTGGGCACATCCCAGGCCTCTCTCACCTCCTGCCGCTTGCGCTCCTCGGGGGAGATTCTCTGCAGGATGCCCGATTCCAGAACCTGAGGATGAGCAGGAATGATGGTCCTTGCACACCCTTGAATGTGGGCTGGGACTGTGTCAGCTGCCCCATGGCACAGCCCACCACCACACACCATCAGAACCCATCACACACCATCACAAACCATACAAAACATCAGAAACCATTACATACCATCACACGTCATCACACACCATCACTCACCACCACCCCTGCCCATCATCACTCACTCCTGCATCACCCCCCACAGCATCACCCAGCCCCCCAGTCCCCAGCAGCTGGCTGCTGCCACTCCCTGGATGAAGATGACTCTCCCCACAGTCTCCAGGGAAAGCTCAGCAAGGAACACCCACCTTCCCCTCAGCTGTGGGTGAAGCCCAACCACAGCAGCAGCACCTGCACCAACAGCCCTGGGCAGACCCTGCATGTCCCAGCCAGGGCTGGACAGGCCAGAACATCCCAGTGCAAGGACTAATGATGTGGAATTGTCCCCTCACAACTCCCAGACCCTTTGGGCTGCTGGCCCTACCTCTGGGAGCTGGCTCCAGGTCACCTGGGCCGGGCGGTAGCTCTGCACCACGATAGCAGCACCCAGAGGGGACGGCTCCTCTGGCAGAGACTCCTCCAGCAAGTCCTCGTCTGACTCATGGCTGACAGAGTTCAGACCTCTCTCACGGATCTCCTGATAGAGCCGAGGCTCTGCAGAGAAGACTCGAGGTCAACACAGCAGCCTCTCCCAGCCCACGGCTTCCCTTCCCAATCACGGCTGCCTTGCCCTGTTGGCCACAAGCCACAAGTTACAGTAAGCCCGGGCCAGAAACTCCCTGATGAGGTTGGACTTTGCCCTGTGCTGATTACCCAGCAGCTCCTGCTCCCAACAGCCCCCACTGCTCTCCCATTTTCCTTGGGAACCGCCCATCTGAGCATGGCAGTAACTGGAGCGTTATCAGCCCCAGGAGTGAGAAAGCAGGGCAGCAATGCTCCTGCTGCTTCGAGGAAACAGAGACAAAAGCCATGGCCCCAGGCCACGGACAGGGAGCAGCACAGTGGGGAATGGCTTTGCAGGGATTTGCTGGGCTGAGGCAGAGGGGCCAGGGGCCAGGAGCACTCACGGTCCTTGAACGAGCCACCACGCTTCTGCACCCGCTTCCGCCCGAGGGTTCTCTGCAAGGGCAAGAGGAGACCCTGCTGTGGTTACCACACTTCTGAGGCCTTGGGAAAACTTCCAGGAAAAGGGAGAGTTACGTGTGCCAGTCAACCCACACCACCCTGTTCTTTTCAGCCTGGCTTTTGTCTGAGCTCTGTTTGCCTTACCCAGGTGACTCAGTTTTCACCTCCCGTAACCAGGGTCAGTCTCAGAACCATTCTGTACCTGCACTGCTTCTGTCAAATCTCTCTCGCATTTGGACTTTGCCTGCTCTGGAGTCTCCCTTTCCCCAGATGTGCTTCACCCATGTTTGTGTACGACTGGAGCCGCTCTCCTGGCTAGCCCCACCCTGCAAACATCCCACAGCCTCCTGCCAAGCATCCAGCTCCTCTCCCCATGAAAGCCATGTCAGCTATTCCCAGGCTCTCCAGGGACCTGCAGCATCTGCTGGTGACACGGAACTTCCCAAGACACCAGTCACGACACCAGGCTCCACAAACCATCTCCAGAACTGACGGGAGCTGTGGGTTCTGCAGCTCCTCTGTCACCACAAGGAAAGCAGCACCTCATCCCAGCCTGACAGGGGTGGCAACAGCTGCTAAACCCACCTTGCTCCTGCCGGGGCTGCGGTCGGGCAGGGCGCTGCCATCCTCAGACACGGGTTTCAGCGAGGGAGCAGCCTTGGCTGGCTCCAGCTCGGTGCCCAGCCCCTTCATGGCCGCACGGTACGACATGTTCCTCAGGTTGCGCTTCAGGGCCCCCCCGCCATCATCCTCATCCTCAGCCTCCAGGGCCAGCATGGCGACGGCCACCCGTGTCGGGTCGGGGCTCAGGGGTTCCCGGCTCACCCCGAAGCTCTGGTGCCGGGAGGGGCTGTTCTTGGGCTTGGAGGAGACAGCCAGGCTTTTGGGGATGAGCTGCTGCGTTCCCACCTTCAGTGCAGCCGGGCTCTCTGTGCTGAGGATGATGCGGCGGGGCTCGGCAGAGGTGGGGGAGGCCAGTGGTGACACTGGGATGGCACTGGGAGCCGTGGTGGAGCTGCGCTTCCCAGGGACATAGGTGGGGCTGGAGGGCTCCTGCCGCGCTGGGTGGCATCGGTACTCCAGGAGCAAGGTCTTGTCATCCACAGATGAACCAGAGGGGCTCCGAGACATGGTGGTGGCCCAGGGGAGCAGCAAGCTGAGGAGGACAGACAGACAGACAGGTGGCTGAACTGACAGACAGACAGGTGCCAGTAAGGCAGCAGGAATCTACACTGAGCCATGGGAGCCTTGGGACAGCGCAGGACTCGGCCTCCACCTTCTCAGGGTGCTCCACAGGCAGGGCCTGTGTGGACACACTTGGGATGCTGTCACCACCCGTGTGCCACCCGTGTGCCAGGGTCAGGCTGGGGCTCCAGGACGTAGTCAGGCTCTGGGAGCAGCCAGGCACCAGGAGCAGCCAGGCCGTGCCATGGGCACTGGAGCAGCCAGACCATGCCACAGGCTCTGGGAGCAGCCAGGCTGTGCCACAGGCACTGGAGCAGCCAGGCCGTGCCATGGGCACCAGGAGCAGCCAGGCCGTGCCACAGGTACTGGAGCAGGCAGGCTGTGCCATGGGCACTGGAGCAGCCAGGC